CTGCATGAGCAGAAATACAGGAAAATGACACTGATCTGACCCAGGAGCATAAGCACAAGTTGTGCAAAAGTCTCCTGCGTCGCCATGTTCCATACTCTTCATGTACATCTGGAGCATTTTCCTTCCTTTCAACAGTTCGTTAAAAACATATCTTTTCTTAAATCTTCTGTGATGGGCTGGTAACTACTCATACCAAGATTCTGATAGGTGACCAAGGCCAGAACTAAGGCCTCCAACAGGGAAAGCCTAATTCACTAGCCCTGTGGACTGCCCACGCCATATAAAGTGACATTTTTATCATAATTTATCCAAGAGGCTTCCTACTTCCCATTTGGAAAACAGTTGGCAAAATAAAATCTTTATACAGTAAAGGAAAAGAAAATCTTTGTGTCTGTGTAATTTCTGAACCTGAAAGAGGCTAAGTTCACTGACTTTACAGATTTAAATCTGGATAGCTGGTTTCATTTCTACTCATTGGCCTTGGTGACGTCATGACTTTCCCCTGAGTTTGATTAATGAAAGCAAACAAACAAACAATAAAAAGAGTGATTAAAAAAAAACCAGCATAAAACATTATGTGGTTGTGTCTTTTGTATTTCCTGGTAAAAATGCCAATAGCTCTAAGAAGCCAATGTTTATATCATCTACTTTAACAATTGTTTCCAACAGGAACCCCTTTACTCATGAGGTTAAGGCACCAGGTTAGACAATGGTGAAAGGTCTGACATGCATCATGGAATATGCAGGCTCCAAATGCATCTATATAAAGAGTTGCCAGCAGGGAAGAAGCAAAGTGATTCATATTTAGGCCAAGGGTCCTGCAGGCTTCAAGTGGGTCAGATGAGACTAGAAGCACTAGATGGTACTATAAGGCACTCCTACAGGGAAAAGTAACAAATGGGAAGGTCAACGTGGAGAAGGACCCACAGGCCCCAGTGGTCCACTAGCTGGTTTACTAGCCATGAAGCCTGAATCTAGGTTGGGGCTCAGGACTCCAGGAAAGGAAGAGCAAAGAGGGGGTGTCGGGGGAGGCTTGTTTGCAACTCTGCGGCTGAGAGTAGGAGGAAATCCTTACCGTGCTAAGAGTTCCTGTAGGTGCCTGAATCTCCTACCCTGGGCAACAATAACTTCTCTCTAGACTTTTCTAAGAAGATGAGCAGCCAATGGCTTCTCTTCCCATAAGGAGGAACCAAGGCAAAACAGCAATTCAGTTTCTTCATTTGAGTTTAGCAATGCCTTTTATCACATCGGAGATCACTTTATAAGGAAACTGCCGCATAATACGATCACTCGGATCATGCTAAATAAAACCCCTGTCAACTACAGGTGTGTTTAGGAGGGTATTCCACACTTTTTTTTTTTTTTTTAACTTTTACCTAGAGTTTAACAATGACTTGGATTTTACCTTAGCCATGCTCCCACTAAAATACACTAAAGAAAAACCCTCAAGTCAGAGATTTTTGAATCCAATGAAATTAGAATATACAATAATGGACTCAAACATACCAATGATCAAGAAGATGGCACAGGACCAGGCAATTGTTTCGTTCTGTTAGACATAAGGTCACCATGAGTCGGTGCGGACTCAGCTGTCACTACCACTACCACACCACCAACCAGTAAGCAGATTGCTGGGTGCTGGTCCTTAATAGTCAAAACACACTCCCACATGACAGAAATCACCATTTGTCTGTTTAGATGAACTCAGGAGGTCTTATATCTCCCACCACTGGATTCAATCTGTTGCAGTTAGTTCTCCTCAACTCAGGGTTACTGTTGAAGCCCCCAAGTGCCTGTTATTAACAAGTACCAAGAAAAGGAAAACAGAGTACCAGTACAATTTAATTTGTGCCAAAGAGGAAGGTGCTCATTTCCTTCAGTTTTGAGCAAAATTCTCTACTTTTTCAGTGTAAGAAAACAACACAAAATTTAAGAAATAAAAGGGGGGATATTGCACGTATCTCTGTTTACTATGAGAAGTAAAAACAAAACAAAACAAACAACAACCTCTGCGTTGACTCCAGGTAGAATCAGAGTCAGGAGCGGAAGATTGACTTCATAATCTAGGTATTTTCACAAAGTACAGTAGATCTATGGAGATAAATAATCCTGCACAAACATATTAACAGCAGCATTGGCTTTGCCCTAAATTAGGAGCAGAATGTATCTCTACTTCCTCAGATAACGCCTTCCCTTGAAGTTAAGTGTTCAGTGTGGCATCATGCTTGTCCCACCCTGATAAATTAGTTTACATGTGGCATTTTTTGGCCAGTGGGTAGAGAACAAACCCACAGACTGGGATGCCCAGCCTTTTTGACGAGGCATGAGAAGAAGCTTTCCTGGGTCAACGTCAGTGTGACACACGCAAAGACATAAACAGAGAAGCGAAGGCTCCATCACAGGGCCTCACTCCAGCTCACCACAGGTGCTTATGGCTCCTAAACCAGTTGCTGTCGAGTCACCTCTGACTCATGGTGACCCCACGTGTGTCAGAGCAGAACTGTGCTCCATAGGGTTTTCAATGGCTGATTTTTCAGAAGTAGGTAGCCAGGCCTTTCTTCTGAGGTGTCTCTGGGTGAACTTGAAGCACCAATCTTTCGGTTAGCGTGTTAAGTGTTTGTACCACCCAGGCACTACTAGAGTGATATAAACACTTGTTCTCATTGTAGCTGGAAGGGAATCACAGCACAGTCCCTTTTCAGGAGCCTGAAGGATGCCACTATATAGCACTAGCTATATGCCCTTTTTGGTGGAGACCGAGTCTATAAGAATCAAAAAGCGACTACCCTCTCAGCTAAACAAACGCTAAAGCTCCTAAAAAGACTACGCTTTAGCATTACAGATACGAAGATGACTATCATAAGGTCCCCTGCAAATGCAGTGAAGCAAATAGGAGAGATGAGCACTGACATGGTTTCATATAAAGAGGCTTTCCATTTTGGGGAAAAGCGACACTGGAAAGAAAATGACTCCAATTCCAGTTGACTGCTTTTTGAGTACTTTGTGGCCTTCCTGCAGTGGCACAAATGTAGGTCTATTTTAGGAACTGGCTTCTTTGCTGCAGGGTTAGATGCCAGTATTTCACCAGGATTGTGCTGTCTCACTCATGAGTTTCTGGCACTGCTAGGAGGGATTTCCTCAGCGCCACACCAGGGAATAGGCCTTTCAGTGAAAACAGGTTCCCTGGAGTCGGCTGCCAGCTCCAGGGGATTAATTGGCCACTTTCTTCTATGCTTTATGTGCAAGATATTTAACATGGGATGAAAAGTGGAACATGAGGAAAAGCAGGTATTAGCTGGGTCGCAGAGAGGTGGTAATCCACAGATTTGCCTTTGTGTCGAGTTTCTAAGCAATGGAACAATTACCTAACAGTGCACCAAGTAATTCGTTAGAGATGGAAACAGTAAGGGTGTTTATGTGCTCTAAGGCATTCTGGGCGGAAAACAGCAATTTTGAATTTCTAAGGCAGACCTAACCCCTAAGCAGGCTCCACTCCGTCCGATCTGATTTGGGCGGTGGCAGCGGACATCCTAAGTGTAGGCCTGCGGCCAGTACCAACCAGGTTGTCAGGGACGTGTAAAAAGGAGAGAAGACAGAAGCAGCTGGAACACAGTTCCAGTCCTGGGTAGCTGACTGTGATTGCACATCTATTTTTTTCCCTTTGGAAAATACACAGAAAATGATGTGGGTGGAAAGTTCTCCATAGGAGTTTGCAGGGACTGCTAATATGTAGCAGGGCCTTATGAATGGGCATCAGCAAAAGCAAAGACATTTAGAACAGGGATCCAGAATTCCACCCTTGACTTTGGTAGGGCCAACCCTGGGCGCACATTAGCTGGGACAGGATATTCTATGCAGAGAGCAAACGTGTCGGTAGGGAGGGAACGGCCCTGCACTTCAGGTCTCCAAATGCAGCATGCTGGGGACGACCTCACTAACAGTCAGGACCACAGATGCATTAATTACAGCAGAGGCAAAAGTAAGTTGCAGTGCTGGGAGCTGGGAGTGGAGGGAGAAGGCACTTTGCCACTGGAGTACATCTGGTTTATAGTAAGCAGGTCTATAATTCTCTTCTGAAAGATCATGTTCTGCTATCTTCTCTGAGACTGGAAAATATAAATACTGCATTTCACGAAGGGGAGGAGGAAAAAGGAGATGATCAAATTTGTTTGCCTGTTGGCCAAGTGCTCCTTTGAAATTTTCCACCCTTTCTCTTTGTGTGCAACATTATAACTAGAGTGGGGGGTGGATGGAGGCTCAACCTATTTTTCCAAGAGTAAGAGGCACCATAAGGCTTCTTATGAATAGGACCCTGGCCTTGTAACAAGTTGTCATGCCTTGGTGACAGCTACTGGATAATCAGAAAATAAACGCATGGGGGCGAGCTATTAAGTTGAAATGTGTGGTCTGGGCCAAAGGACCTGGCGCAGGTCAAGGGGTGAAATGCTCACATCTACCATCTGCACAAAAGTCACGTGAAATGTCATGTCTCTAAATGGATGGAGGTATCAGGACTTGAGTTCTGGAGGGAGCAAGGTGTGAGAGAAAGGCGAGATGGGGCTGAACGTACAATATACTTTGTGAGCCGTGGATTCTCCAGATCCTAATAGTGAAACTACCAAACCACAAAGGCGTTGAAGGTGTCTGCTCAGTGGTGAAACATACAGGATCTTCTCACAAGCTCTGTCGTGAATTGTTTCAATATGAACATATTTTTCTGTTCTAGAAAGAGGTAAGGTAGAAGGAATGGGAGCCACTGGGCTTCCAGTGCCATCCTACCTGCCATTTTGGTCACAGTGACTGCTATGCTGGCTCTTACAAGGGCATCGCAGTGGGAGACCACTACCCTGAAAAAAGCAAAGCAATTAATTATATTTCTTATTTATATTCTATTACTTATTTAGCATTTTTGTTTTACTTTAAAGTGGAAATTACATATATGTTGATATATATATACTTTTAAACAACATCAGGTTTAATTCATTATTTATACTTGGAAGTTTGGTATTTTCTTAATAGCCTAAAGTTGGTATTTCGAAGATCCATGTTCCTCTGATTTTTTAAAATAATTTAAGAAAGCAAACGAAAGTAGGAATGATTAAATTGACAAATCAAACGTCAAAAAAGTGCAGTGAAGAACAATGACAGATAAATGAATGAATAGGTAGGAATTCAGGATTCCATGAAAAGAAATCAAAGATCCTCTCTTGGAGTGTATGCACCACATACCCTATCTACCAGTATTTAACAACAATTCTAGGAAATTTCCTCAGGCCAGCACCATTAAAAAAAGCATAAATATCTCCCATGAAACCCTTGCGAAACTGTTCTTAAGACAGCCATGTTTACACCCTGGCAATATGGCGGACGGTCCCATCATTAGGCAGATGCTGGGACTCGTACCAGCAAACAGATGACAACATGCGGTTATTGGTCGCAGAAATCTCTTCTCAGGAAAAAGAAACTCTCTGAAATTAACTTTGAAGCCAGAACCAGCTCTCCTCATAAATTAGGGGCTCATGCTTTCTGTCAAAGGGAGCTCGCACTCTTAGCTTCCAGGCCATTCAGCTCTTTGCGTGACCCCCACGTCCGCCCGGGTAGAAACCGAGGAGAGACAGAGCCAAGGACACCGAGTCCTGGAAGGATCCAGGAGTCATTCCTGTGTTTTGAAGATTTTCTTATGAAACAGATGGTGGTGGGTGCTTGCCTCAGTTACTTCAGCTTCTCAGGAGGCTAAAAATAAATAACACAAAAATAACCCAAATCTCTGTCATTCTGCTGGAAATGTTTCCTTCTGTGTTCTGTGTAATAAGATGGCCCCTGAGAGCCAAAAAAAAAAAAAAAAAGTCTAAACTATTAAGCATAGTATGTAAACCATGTTCTGCTTGGGAGCAAGCGGCTGAAATTCATGGCTAGGTGTAAGTCAGCAACTGGTATTTTTTTGAGCTACAGAGGCTCTGAGGACTTTCCAGACAACGATTTACACAGAGTATACTTACAGGATGTATAGGTATGTATGTATATATATATATATAAATATATATCTATATCTAGCTGAAGAGCAGACATACTCTTCTTCCAGTGGGGTCTAACTGGCTAGTTAGGAAGCCACTCAGGGCTGATGGATCATCACTAAGTGAATCTCTGGCCTGGGGGTCCTGCCTGGTCAGGTGTTCTGGTAGGACAGCTCAAACATGTTGAAAGCCTCCTCCAGACTCTCATCCATATTCAGCCTCCGCCAGAAAGACTTCTGCTTCTTCTGCAGTTCTCGGCGAACACACCTTGGGCAGGGGACAGACTTTTCTTTGCATTCAGAATGGAAAACAGCTCCACAGCGTTCACACCTGTAAAAGCCAACCGCGGGTATGATGAGCAAGATTGAAATGAGCAAGAAAGAAATGAACACAAACACTTGAAGCATAGAAGACACTTCTTTGTGGAGCAACTAGGGCCGTAACATATTATTCTGGACAACCCTACCACTGGGAAGAGAAGTGACTCATAGGAATGGGCTGTTTTCTTTTCCAAAATGCTCAAGGTTGACGTTCACTTGAAAAACATTTTTTTTTTTTTTCTTTTCCAATTAGAACTAGCCTGGGGAGAGGCTATGGCTCCTGAGGGAGCGGAATCAGCAGTCATTTAGCAACTCTGTGATTACGGTGACAATGGACAGAGCGTTGAAGCCCTGTGTGCTAGTGTCTTTTCCACCGAGACAGTGTGGATAGTGACTCCAGGTCAAGTGACACAAAATGAGGGTGAAGTGACTCGTCAATGGAAAACGCTTCCCTACACCAATGGCAACCCCTCTGAAAATGTAGCTTTCTACTTTAGTTATCATGAGCTAAGTGGTTCCCTGTTAACTTACTGTCTTTATCTGACAGTTTGAAAAGGTAAAATGACATATTTTCATTTTTTGAATTATATGCTGTGCTCTATTACTCTTCTGAGTTAAAAAATAAAAATTAGGGAAAATCCTCCACCTAACAGTTTACCTTTATAACATAACTTGGAGCAATAAAACATGAGAGAGTAAAAAAGGAAAACTTTTTTTTTTTTAAACCCAAGAGATACTGTAATTTATAGAGAGGAGACATTCCAGGCGGATGACTAGTTTGTTGTTCAGCTTACTGGAAACCTGCACAGGAGTCAGAACAGCTTGTTTTTACAGCGAAGTTTTTAATAATGAATAACTGACAGGAACAACCAAAGCTGCTCAAGTGGGTGGCTTGGTGATGTGGATTAAGTTCTCATCCTTTCACACGTGAGTGGCAAGCGACTTTTACCTGGTCCCAGGAACCCAGGGAATTGGGCCTGCACGATTTTGTTCAACCAGCCAGCATCATTCAGGGAGGGTCTATCAGGACTGGGCTATGGAGGAACCAGTCCTCACGGCTCAGCCTGACATTTCTTTTGTGTTTCTGATAGTATCTGGGTGTGAGTCTTGGGCTTAGGACAGCCTTTAGGGTACTATCCCTCACCTGACGCTGACTAGCCCTGGACACCATTCAGAATTCAGAGGGCTTGGCTAAAGGAGGAACTTCACACCCACCTTGGTACCCTGGGCAGAAGGCTGCGACTTGGCAGGACAGACGCTGTGAGGGGTGGGAGTTGCTGTATTAGCTGATAGACCATGAGACAGGAGCTTCACTGCACCCAGCAGGCTCTGCTCCAGCTCAGCTCTTTGGGCCAGAGAAACATAGTAGTTGGGATAGCAGGCAAGGGGTTTGATAGCTGTGACTTCAAACAACTTAATGGCTGTATGACCCTGAGCAAGTTACTTCACCTCTCTGAGCCTCAGTTTCCTCATCTGCTAAATGGAGATGACATTTGCACCCACCTCACAGGGGTGTTGTGAGGCTCAAATGAGATAACAGATAAAGCATTTAGCTTAGTTCCTGGCACGTGGTAGGTGCTTAATAATAAAGCCAAAACTGCTCCTCCCAGCGTGCCACAGCCTTTTTGGGTGTCATCATGTCAACCTGACTTCATCTATGCCACCACGGTGACCTGAGGACATTTCAACCAAGCCTCTCACTTCACAGATGAAAAAACTGAGACTCCAAGAGGGCAAATGATTGTCTCACAGGGACACAGTGAGTTGAGGACAGAGTTGTGATGAGAACCCAGGAATCCTGGCAGCCCAGTCATGGCTGTTCCTCAGTGCCATGCTGCTGGCTAAGGCCTG